GGGGGAACACCTCATCTTGGCACCTGCAGCAATGAAAACGCATCCCCACAGAGGTTGATTCAGCATCAAAGCTTCCAGTATGGACCCACAGCACCAAACAATGCCAGCTGTGAGCCTGATACTGGGCACAGCAAAAAGATTTGCCAGATCCTGATGTCCTTGTCCATTCCCTGCCTGCATCCACATCAAACTCAACATGACTGTTTCCCCTTCCAGCAGCAATTGAGGCATTTTAGCTCCCTCTCTGGGCCATTTCTCTCCATAGCAGCAAGTCAGGTCCCTGTGGAGCAGAGGCCAGTACACCCTTCTTCCCTGGGGCTGGGAGGAAACAGTGGCTTGTTTGAGCCTGAAAAACATGCCTTCAGTCTGTTAATGATTTACTTTGAGCTTCATCGTTAGAGGAAGCCTTGTGGAGATTAGTGAGTCTCAGAAGTTGTGCTCACCAAGCAGAGGGGCAGCAACACTATTTTCCTACAGAAACAAGAGCTACCTTGTAGCACAAACATATCAATTCATGCAGGTTCAGCCCTGTGGGGTTCCTGAAAAACAAAACAAAACAAACCTAAACCAAAAAAAACCCACCACCATCATGTCACTCAAACACCAGTTTACTGAATTATATACTGATTTGCTGCACCACATCACTGCTGCTGTCCTGGATGACTTTTAGGACATGAGCCCAGCTGCTCCTTCACTCTCCTTGGCCACATATGGCAGGACAGGAACAAAGATACCACCTTCTGTTTCCTGATTACCAGCAGCCTCTTTTCAGATGCTGAAGGTGAGAAAGCCTCACCTAAATCAATGTTGCTACACTGACACTTCCACCAACAGAGCTGAAAGAAAATTAACAACTTCAAGTGCTCATCCCAAACCCTCTGGTGGAAGAACACAGGGTTCCAGTTCTTGCAGCAGCTCTCAGGGGAAGATCCCTATTTCCAGGCCTTCTGAGAGCAGCAGACGGTGATCAGAAAGGCATTACGCAGCACTGGAGATGGAGTGCAGCTGCTGAGGCAGATGCTGCATCCCCATTACCCACGCATGTCCTCGTTCCCTAGCATGTTTCCCACTGAAGGATGGGATTTCACATAAAAAACCCCATTCTTGGCAAGAACTCCTGCATGTACCTCCTGGAGGACATCAGCACACTGTCACACAAGGCCCCACACTCTGGAAGGCAGTAATGCCACCCAGGACAGCCAATGCAGAACACCTCTAAGGGACTTTTTTTAAAAATTTATTTTTCTCTTGTGGGTTAGAGTTCTGCTCTGCACACAGCTGCACTGGGACACTGTCCAAAACTAGCTGAGTTCTGCATCTGGGCTGCCTCATCACCAGCAGAAGGGCTGCAGCTGGTGGAATTAAGCAAGCAGCTTTTTTTTTGTGGAAATGGTGAATGCAAAGAAGGAAGGAAAATAACCAAGGCATAAAACATGGAAATGAGCCATTCCCACTCCCACCTGTTTTTCCCAACAGTTTTGTCATTTCAGTTACTTGCAGAGACCAAGGAAATGGAATTGGTGCTCTGCAGAGGCAGGTAAAGGACTGCACTCCAGGTTTCACATCCTCCCCTGCCACCATTCCAGCAGAGCTGGCAATGGTACAACGTACCCAAACAGGAGTCTGTCTACAATCCTGTCCCACATGGTTACAGCTCTAAGTGCATCACCAGCACCAAAGTGGCCAGAGAAGGTCACCATAGACCTGGAAACACCAGTCTGAGGCCCAAGGTGACTTGGAGTAAGTGGCACAGCTGAAAGCAGAAGGCCTGCAGCAGCCAGCCCGGCAGAGGCAGGCCCAGCAGGCTGGAAGCCCATACACCACAGGAGAGCGCCTCAGAGCAGGACAAAGGGCCAGCAGTCAGCTCACGGGGCAGAAAGGCCTCTACAGCACAGGAAGCTTGGTGACTCAGACACATGACGAGGAAAGGGCTGGAGAGTCACCCCCAGTGCTCAGCTTCCATTGGCAGTGCCAGTGCTGCAATTCCAGTAAGGGGTATAAATAACAGCAGGGGAGAAGCCAAATGCTCATCTACACGCAGTGCAATGGCAGGGGGAGGGCACGAGAACCCCCAGCACCACACAGAGCGTGAACATACTCCTTTATCCACCTGGCCCGGACACAGCCCAGGCTGTCCCCTGACACTTCTGCATTCACCCCAGGACAGCCAAGCACATCTTGGATTGCACACACCATCTCTGTGCAGAGGGAAGCACAGGCTTTCCAGGTACCAGCTCAGAAAAAGTGCAAGCTAAACAGCAGTGAACAGCTGACAGCTGTTGTACAGATATACTGGCAGACAAATGTACACGTAACAGCCCTGAGCACTGCATTGATGTGCACTGTACTGTAAATGCACTGAGGAAGAAGTGCATTTAAGACATTTCTCTGCCACTACGTGTTTATGAGGCTGCAACTCATCAGAAAATTTGGGGCTGGGCATATTTGGTGGGGAAAGGAATTGCAATGATACACGGAGTCATAAGCTTTCAGACCGATCCCAGCACCCTAATAAGCCCAGACAGAGGAAAAAGTTGGAAATCAGAAGCAGCACTGTAAGAAATAAGGGCTGAAACCTGTGAGCAGAACGGATTGAGCCTGTTGGCAACATCCTTTGACTTCTAAGTGAGAAAGAAGAAAGGGAGAGAGAAAAGTTTAAGGCGACTTCAGAAGGAATTCTCCCACCACCTCAGTAACACAGTGCAGCTCCAGCAGGTGCCGGAGCACAGACTGACCTGTGGAGCCTGTGTGTGTTTTTTCAAGCCTTCTTTAGACTTTAAGAAAAGCCAGATCGCTCCTAGAACACACCGTCCGGCACACCAAAAAGTATAATGCAGTACCAATAGATGGCCTGGTTAACAGACTTTATTTTCTGTACCAAAACATCATCTACATTGTCTTTGCATTGCACCTGTGTCTGTGAAAAGTCAACTTGATGTTTTTAGAATGCTTACCTTACTCTAATCCCTCCTTGCTCTCAAAATGGAGAACTGGAACCAAGTTATTCTGGCTTCTGGAGCGAGAGGTACAGGAAATGAGCTTAGAAGAGTGAGTGAGTTTAAGCATGACACATGAAACAAGCCCATCTTGACACAGCAAAGGTCATCATGTTCCAGATATTTGCCTGTCCAGTGGTTCAAGCTCAAGAACGGGAATCAGGTCTGGGGATTGTTCCTAGGTCTTGCATAGATCATGAGTGACTACAAGTCACTTTGCCTAAGTGCCTCACTTTCCCACTGGACAGACTTTTGGTTACTTTCTATTTGAATTGCCTACACGCTGCTATTTGCATGACAGAGATGTTACAGGAACATTTCAGGGATTGCTACAGGAATAGGGTTTTTTTTTAAAAAAGCAATATTCATTTGAAAGATCTGACTGTTGATATAAAATTTATAAATTTATGTATAATTGAACACCTTTAAGCAATATGTTATAAACCCAGCGTAGTTCAACCTGCTGGTACCCAGAGGCCTGTCACAAAGCCCTGGGCTAGATCCAAGAACTGATTTAGGTGCCGCTTACTGAACAAGCAGTTGTAGGCACTTGCTCTCAACAGAGCATTCCAGACTCACTCACAAGCCAGTTGTGTCTGGACCCCAGAGAGAGATGGCTTTTCAGATGCTCTCACCCATGCAGCAGAATTTCCTGTGACCTGTAGGAAGAGCTGAGCAGACAGGTTCCTGCATCACCCTTCAGAGCTGCCTATGTCTCTCTGTCCCCTGTAGCAGCAGTCCAGGCACCTCAGCAGGTGCCAAGTCCATCACAGGGCCTAGGCACCTAAATACCAGAGTATGAACCCACTAGGCCCCTAACTCTGTC